ATTACTTATTTTATTATATTTATTGATTTACCAAAGTACATTGTAATGCCTTATTTGTTAAATACAATTCTTCATTAGATAACTAAATACGTTATTGAATAAATCAAAAAAATATATATAGGAAAACATAGAACAATTTGTAGCTCGTTTTTAAACATACAACAGTCTATTGAGCCTCTGATTTTCAGTGTGATTCAGTCATAATCATGTGATTTTGGAAATAATCTTCATACTATATAAATCTATTTATAAAACACTTTGATCAATGTATAAATTTCACTGAATATTTATAATCCAACAAAATAAACTTTTGATATATTTTATTAATGTTTAATAGTTGAGATCACTAATGAATTGAAGCTAGACGACGATGGAAAACCTGAAAGTACTGTATGGCCGTTTCGTTCTAATGTGGGAATCCTCAGCAGTGCGCTTCCACGCTCCCCCTTCATGAAATTTGAACCCAGTATCTATTTATTGTTCAATAGAATCAAATGATATAATATTTTTATAAACATAAGAGAGAAAGAATAATATTACTCAATATTATAAAATAAACATTAGACTATCTTATATTTTTTATGACTGATAGTTTTAGTAAATTTATTGATTTTTATTTATCAGTATAAAAATTTTTTGTTTTGTTTTTGTATAAACTTTAAAACATTTCTGTTCCCCTATTTATACACAAATGATTAATGCTTTTCACAGTATACATATAATAATTTCATACCATTAATATCACAACAACTACCACTGCTAATGATAATAATAACAGGATGCAATAATTTTTCCGTTGATAAATCGAATGAATTATTAGTCAGCTACTGAATATGCAAAAAAAACATTTTTATTACTTTAAAAAAATAAATATTAAGAAATTGTTAATAAATTCAGTTTATTTATATATTTAACGGTCTGTCAATCTGGTGTTCTTTTCTCTTTTTTTTTTGCTTTTTTTGTTTTTGAACTAATCCGTAAAGTTGTATTGAATACTTTTGGTGAAAGTAAATAAAGAAATAAATTACTATTTAATAATGATTAAAGAGTGTCTGAATGCTATTTTTTACATTGCTTGTTTAAATTTGATTTAATGAAATGACAGGAAATTTATTATTCATATAAAAAATTAAGAATAATTTATATTGCTGCGTGGGCTACTTATATCGACATAAGTAGTATATTTTTTCAGTTGGGAGTAAAATATCTGGCAGCTAAAGATTGAGAAGATCCAGAAAGGAAGGATGGAACCAGAAAGCAATCGGTATGGAGATGAACGAACAGTAAAGTCTGAGACGATTGATTGATGTTTGCAAAGGAACAGCCAAGTTTGATTAATATTGTGTAAATTAAATATTTACTGTTTGGTTCTCAGAATTTAATAAGGTGTTCTGGTGTGTGTTCACTAAAATATCACTTAGTATTCATTGTGATTTCAAGTCGATTATGTATATTTTTTAAAAATATGAATTACCGAGTGAATTAGCTAGTGTGTTGATCATTACTCCTTTAATTCTCAATTTAATAAATAATAATGAACATGAAATGGTATAACCGTGAAATTAATAAAACAATAACTCATATACATCAAAAATAATTTTGATGTTTGATTACAATTCCTTGAAAAAGCTTGGACCAAATCGCCAGGCAAAACGTTGGATTTAATTAAAAATTCATTCGCTGAGATTTTGCAAATATATTATTCCTATTTAATGTCTTACATCAACTCGGCGCTCAAATACTGTTAAACTATTCGCTCTAATTCAGACGAGAGTTCTTATATAAAAAATAACTCATATACTTCACTGAAATACGAAAGTGTAATCCATGAAACATTTATCGTATGTTGTGCTTTATGTGTCACCAAGTTTTATTAAAAGGAGTAAACAACTTTACATATTTAATTATCAGACCTAATAATAAAAAGAAAATTTAACATTTTGAAATGATGGAGATCAGTTGAGGCCTATGTGGATAATTTCGGAGTTGTTGAGTTCTACGAGCTGAATGGTTTAATTGTAGGGTCTTGATAGTCTTTTTAAATACCACCAACGATTTGTTCATGTAGAAGTGAGCTAAATAGTTGTTCCACAAGCATTAAATCATTCTGTTTTACTGGCTATTTTAGTTATTGTTTAACTTCTTAGTTTTTATTGTTTCTAATTTATCTTGTCTCTCGGTTGATCATCTTGTCATGCTGACTTCTGACCATGTTGCTGTTTGACTTTTTGCAAATACACTTACAAATATGACATTTGACATACATGTGAACATGAATTACGTTGATTCCTTCGAAACGTTATAATCTATCTAGTAGAGCTGTCCAGTCGCGGATAAAAATACAAGTCAAAGTATGAAGTAATGAGACTCTACTTCATTGACCTTAATCCTGAAATGATGGGATTTAACTGAGTTGCTTGGTATGCAACGAAAATTATGTTATAAAATACTTTAGAAACATAATGGTACAAAGTTTATTTATCGGAGTAAACAAACCTTTCCTACTTCATTTACATTATACTATAAGTTACACATTTTTAACTTATTAAGCATTCAAAGTGACACTATACCTTAACTAAGAATGCATTTTCGAATTGATTCATTTAAATAAAGTCATTACGAAACCCCAGTACGATGTGGATTATAACTCTAGTTCGAAAAAAAACATTATTCTTTACATATGAATTAAAGTAAAAGTACAAAAGCAATGATATAGAATCTCAATCATGGGTGCCTTTTGAATGTACGAACGTATTCTCAATTTATTTAAGTCAAAATATTCCAAGTTTATTTAAGTGTTCACCTTATTGAATGTACCTCCAACCACTATCTTATCTCAGCAAAGTACACGCAATGTCGAGTCATCTAGATTGATGGCCACATTGCAACTTAGTCGATGGGATTCAATCTGCATCAAAAAGGAGCTGACATGCACTAAATTGATTATCAACCAGTGATCAATCAATCGTAAATACATCTCAGTCCTACAAAAGGTCAGTCACTGCCAGGTTAGATCAGTGATAACATCTCTGACTGTGAAGCTGGGTAACAAGCGATAAAATCCGTCAGCGAGCATCAGTTCCCTTAAGGTTACAGGTACACCTTGCTGGCGAGCGTCAAAATCGCACAAAACCTAGGTATGGGGTGTTCTGTTGACTACCTCCAATCACCAAATAACGAGTTTCTATTTATTCAAAGCTTAAAATTCAGTCTTCTTAAAGTTTTCATAAGCCTTTTATTTTGCATAATATCTCAACAAGTCGTCTGTTAAAACACATCGATTAACTGATATTTAAATCAGGATCAATCATTGTAAAGTATTATCATTCTAAATGAAACCATTTAAAGTTGTAAAATATTGTTTAAACAAGGAGTGATTCATCAACATTAAACGTTGTTATTATTTGTTTATAAATAAAACTGTTTTTATTCAATAAACATAATGAAGGCAACAGAACTTTAGAAATCAAACTTTAAATAAATGTTTAGGTGAAAGTTCAAGTAAAAAGGTGAAGACAATTTTAAATAAATTCGCAGAAAATTTCTGTTCTTTTCAAAATATTCCACAGAACGTTAAATCTTAACTCAAATTGGAATGAAATCAGATAACACTTTTTTATGTCAGATCTTATTTTAGGTTATTAAAGATACCTTTAGTTGTGGTTTGAACTTTTAACTGACTGATGTTTCCACTGATATCAGAATTTGACCATAACAATTTATGTATAAGAACTTAGAAGCTATTTTATAAAGTAACTACATCTGAACTCTTTTATTTTTTTGCATAATTTTCAGAAAAAAATGAAGTAATCTCATTCAGAAATAGATTAGATTAGATACGTAAGTGTGAATAAACTCATTCAATGATACTGTCCTAGCTAACTTCCAGTTATAACTAAATGATTTGTTTCTAATTTAAGTATATATATATATATATATATATATATATATATATATTATAAACAAGTGTCTGAACAAGATTCACTGCTGCGATTTAAAACACTGATGGAGATTTGCTTACTAAACACCAGGATATTCAGAGCAAGTAGATCATCTAATCAGTAATCATTTAACTAAACATATTCATTATTTCGTTTTCTTATATTTTCCAAATCAGTATTCTACACTTTACAAAGCATATTTTATTCAAACGTTTACAATAATAAAAGTTTCATGAATATTATAAGACAACTAAATCATAATTCATTCAGACATTAAGCAAAATACTTCAAGAGGAAATGATTTTATTTCATTTCAAGACAGTCAATGTTACTCTGATATAAAATAAAACACTTTGAAAATACCGTTTATGATTTATCAATTCGAACATCTTTATCTGTCTTCATTAAATTGTTAAGTGTTGAAGAAGATTGCAATTCTTTTTCTCAAATCTTCTTCTGTTTATAAGATAGTCAACATAAGTGATTTAAGCAAGCAAAAGTAAATTAATTCGGAAAAACAAACAATCATTATTATTATAAGTTTTCTGAAAGAGATTACTAACTGAATTACTTCAGTAGTAAATTCATCAACTAATTTGTATGTATATGTAAAAAGGGTATTTCAACCAAACACTTTTATGTTGATTTTTATCTTTAGACAATCAATTTTGAGTTTACTGTTTTGTTTTTTTATTTTTCACTTTAAATTTTTATTACCTTTAATTCAATGAATTTCCTATTCTGTAAAAAAAAACTAATACCCAAATCACAATAAAACTTTTTATCACTATTTTATTTTAATGCAAAATAGGATGGTGGAACCATTAGTATTCATAAAATATTTTTCATACAGTTTTATTTTCTTTTGTACCATGTTTAATACTTTGAATTTATGATTCGGGCTAAGGTAATTTGTTGAAAGATTGTTAGGGTTAAAAAGCTAGTGTATTCACATATCTACATAGATGTATATGTGTTTGTGTATAATATGTCCAATGTGCTATAAAATTACTGGTTAAATAAAGTTAGTCTGTTTGTGTTTTAGTGTGCAAAATTATGGTTAACTAAACGGTTGTTATTAGTTAGATTTCATTATGTTTTCTTTTTAAAAAGTTAGTTATCCATCTTCACATCACATTTTGAATGTATGTATTACTAGTTCGTTCATGTGTGCATGTGAAATATAAAATCAAATACATGGTGACCAATACCATTCTCACTATATATTTATAATCACATTAGTATAATAAATGAGGTGAAAAATATTATAAATCAGATTTAAGTGAACAGAAGGAAAAATATTAAATAGAAAAAAAAATTTTTTTGAAACATACTACTTACTACTCAAATATAAGTGAATTTTGAAGTGTGCTGGAATGTGAATATAATATCTCAATTCAGTAGTATATTAAGAAAGTACTTATTGAATTAACACAATATTCATACATATGATTATTAGAATATATATATATAAGAAAACCTGAACAAATTTCAGTTGGATTTTAATTTAATTTATTTAGTGGATTAAAAACAAAATAAACAAAAATTTTTTTCTTTTTCCTTTTTTTTCTTTTCGAAAACAATCATAATTAAATTATTCAATGAAATCATTATTATATCATAATTATTTATTATTCAATATGATTATATTATTATTAATTTTGAATGAGTTATCATTCATTTCTAGTTTAAATGAACATGTTCAAGAGTCAACAACAAGTAAGTTTGAATGAATAATTATTCAAAATTATGAATAAGAAATACATCTTGAATTATTTTGTATGTTAATTGATTAAAGTGTAGCTTTATTGAAAGGTAATTCTCATAGTTGAAATCATGAGTCATTTGAAGCTAGACCAGCAAGGAAACCTGGAAGCACTGGACGGCCGTTTCGTCCTATTGTGTGACTCCTCAGCAGTACGCATCTACGATCTCGCTTCGCGAGATTCGAACCCACTGCGCACTGCTGAGGCGTCTTTTTATGGGACGAAACGGTCGTTCAGGGCTTCCAGGTTTTCCATGATGGTCTAGCTTCAATTGACTCATGCTTTCAACTACGAAACTACTGAAATATCCACAAAACGTCTTTTGAAAGTTGATTCATTGAATGCTTATATTTTTATTATGTTTTTATATTTCAATGAAGGTTTTCTTTTGTACTAACAAGCAAAGATTGACCTAAATAAAGATTATAATAACTATTTATTGGATTTCAGCAGATAATACATGGAATGTTCTTTGAATCTTTACCTAAATCTAGTATATAGACCTATAGTATATACGCTGAATAATATATAACGTATTTTTTTCAGTAGTTAGTATATTATTTAAGATTATAACCATTGATTAAATAGTTCTATTACACTTCGTTAACAGGATAAATCAAAGTATGATGTCATCAAAAGTAAGAATTTTCACTTTATAAACGAAGCAGTAAAAAAACTTTTCAATCAAAATTCGTAGAAAACAAATCACTTTATTGTTACTTTGCTAACTTGTGAGTTGTATTCTGAATACTGTCTCAAATATGAATTCCTGAATACATATGAATTATTTATGTAATAAACGAAGAAAGCTTACTTGACAAAATCATTTTATTTTTACTGTACAAAGTGCTTTGTAAATAGAGTATGTATCAAGTTGTTTATAATTGGAAGTTAGGATTAGTTTGGAAGAATTCCGTTTTGATTCACTGTTTCACAGTAATTAAGTCGTGAGAACATTTCTTAAGAATACAACAACATAGTATCACAAGCTAGTTAAATATATAAAGCATGATAGTTTTCTCTAGTCCCATGCATTTTAGTGAGTCATTAATCTTAATAAAAGATATCATTTGATATACAGATGATTGTCTAACATTTAAGAGATTGCTTTTATATATACCCAGGACTTAGATGCCGAGACAAAGATGTTTACAGTTTATCTAAAACTCGGTTACAGTGTAAATGTTATCAGTTTTTACTAAAAATTTCAACACTTTTCAACTTCAGTTCACTTAGTATTGTTTGATGCTTAGGACTGTAACTGATCAGTCCTAGAGTGAACATCAACTCTGAGATGCAGGCACATCCAGCTGACTAGTCCCAAATAGGACGAAATGCGCGTCTTGGATTCCGCTGGTAGCCACTGTCCATCTTTGCTTAAAACTTTTCAACTTGATTACATTTTTTTTCTTACATTAAAATGTACTGACCCAGTGATAGAGGATTTAATTTTTTTCATTAAATTGCAAGTTTTAGAATACAAAACTTAGTAGATGTTGGCGTGATGTAGAGCAATAGATTACTCGACAAAACGGTTTGATATGTACGAAATGTTATTGAAAATACTCAGTTTTATAATTTATATGAATATGATCTGAAGTACGAAGAATGTATTTGAACTGAATTCCATCAAACAGCTATATATGATATATATATGATAAAAAGCACTCTTGCAATTAATCAAAAATTGTTTTTAAATATGAATGTTTAGTCGTTATTTTTCGGATTTGAGAACCATTCTCCCTGTTCTCTACCATGGTACCTGTTGTCAATTTCAGTGAAGTCGACTAATTTTCTACATTTATTGTTAATAATCCTACTATGTAAATTACGAGTGACTTGTATATTTCTGACATGATTTCCTACCTTAAATGTTAAACGTCTAAATATAATCACTTCTTAAAAGTTTCCATGATAATCACAACCATGACAATATCTAGCTGTTTATCATTTATCTTTCATAATATAAAATATTTTGTATTTTAAGAAGATAATGCGACTATTTTTTTATAGATAATGTAGAATACCAACTTAAGCTTTATCCATTTGGGTATTATGATTCAGATTCAAAATCTGCTACAATGAATGTTAAATCATCAGCCGGACTTTTGACAAGTTGAGACTATGTATGATGTTTTCGTCACTGTTTTCTTTTGATTTTGAAATCATACGAATACCAGCAATTTTTTCGGGGAGAAGCAATTGTAATTTGCTTCACTTTTTCATAATGCACAAATTCTCTACACAATACTTATCATTAAAAACATATTAACGTTTTGTAGTTTTCTGTACACGCTTCCTTATTATAGTTAATGTTATTAAAACTGAAAATTAACTTACATTTCATATTCTGAGAATGACAGTACAATTTTACTGCGGTGTATACTACTTATATCGGCAGACATAAGTAGTATATAATTCTAATCAAAAGTGAAATGCCTGGCAGCAGTTGGTTGAGAAGATCAAATTGAAGAGAACCCTAATGTAGACAGATACTAATTGTAATAACAACAGAAATAAAGGAACGATAAAGTTTGTAAAAGACAATTGTTAGATATGCAAGTATTGAAGTATTTAATATATGATTTTCATATTTTATGAAGACACTGTAATTTTGTTTTAGGCATAAAATTGATTCTTCCCACCGGAGTGTTCGTTCACAACTTATTTAATTAATCTTTATAAGTGTTAATGTTCAATCATGGTTAACATTAAGGAATCGTATTTTATGGTGATAGATTCACACTGCTGACCAATTAAATATCCAAAATAACTATGGTATATATAACAGCTAAAGGATTGTGACAGCTGTGTATTTTATTTATAAATCAATCATTTGTAATTTCATTAGACTTTTTTCACTAGCAACTAATGTGCATATTTGAAAGTTACGTTTAATCTAATTCTTATATTTGTTTTAAGTTTTAAACAAAGAATGTGAAAATGATGATCCACTAGGGATGATATCAGGTTCAATTGCTGATTGGCAGATTACTTCATCGTCAACGTATCCATCTAGTTGGGTAAAAGGATGTGAAGAAAAAAATGCTCGCTTATTTAGAACAAATGGTTTAGCTTGGTGTGCAAAATTTAAATCCTCTTCAGAATGGCTTCAAATTGATTTAGGTGTACAAGCATTGGTAAGTGAATATTTTGTGTAAAAAATGTTTACATATCTTTTGAATGTCGAAAATTTGTCTCAGTTAAATTAATTAATCTCCTTAATTTTTATTAGAAAATTAATTACGTAGATAGTTAAGTATCTCGAAAAACTAACTACCCTTTACTTCTTATGACCATAGGAATCATAAATTCCCTGTTAGTTTGTGTCCTTTACTATATTTTTCTAAACACTGAGATCTTAAAGTCAAATTTGGTATATGACAACCTACTTTAAGGTCTATATTCAGATAAAAATATATGAAACTTCGAAAGTTAAAGAAGATATCACGTACACATATCAATTCTTTGTTACGTTATATTAAAATAAGTCAACATAATGATGTTATTCGATATTAAAGGGTTACAGTAACACAATTTTAGTATTCATTTAGTTACAACCATATTTATTTATTTGTGGTCAGTTTATCCAAAACCTCAGTAGGATAAACTTAATGTAATATTTTTATATGAATGATGTTTGTTATTCTATCTTATAGAAAATGATTAACTTTTCTGAAATTATTGTTAATACTTTTCACTGATAAACAACATTACTATGAACAGAAGCATAACGACGAAATATATACTTTTTATTTGTTTATAAGTGAATTTACAATGAGACTAGTAGGTCCTTGGTTCGAATCTCGCGAGGCGAGATCGTAGATGCGCACTGCTAAGGAGTCCCACAATAGGCCGAAACGGCCGTCTAATGCTTTCAGGTTTTCCTTGGTGATCTAGCTTCAATTGACTAGTGCTTTCAACGATGAAAATTCTCTGATGACCTACTGAGATTACTACTTGGATTCCATACCTTCAAAGATCATATTTGAAGTTTATAATGTAATAAAACACCACTGGCGAGGTAAACCTATTTGTAAATAATGATCTGTAAAACATGACCACATTTGAATTTATAGGAAATTTAAAAGTCTTAACTTATTTTCAGTGATTCACTGTAATAACTGTAACTTATTTTTTTATTCTAAATTGGACTTAGCAAATCATACTATTTTAGTTACCTCAGTTATAATATAAATAACAGTTCTTGATGGTTTTGTTGACATTATTGACAAGTGGTTATTAGATGAGTTATTCGTATCCCTGAATACTACAATTAAAAGTGAATGATTTTCCATAGTATACAAAAACGTTATTTTCATAGGTTAAAATATCTGATTATTTGACTAAAAGCCTTGTAGAGTTTAATTTAGATGAATACTGTTGCGTGTCACCTGTGATATCAAACAACGATCCATTGCAAAATGAAAAAAGAAGCATTAAATAATTTTTTAATTTTAATATTGGGCTTGATCAGTTGTCGATAAATATACGCTGAAAACAAGCAAGTGGGTTACTATCGGAATATTAACTCTAAACTTAGTTATTTTATTCACATTTTCAATTTAACATAACTCCTAATAAAGAGAGGTTCCATCTTAAGAGATAGAATTCAATCATTTGAGCATTATTCTGTATGAATGGAATAATTGTTCAGTCCTACATAGTTCTGAAAATCCTTTGGCTGCTTTTATACCATTTGTCCTTTAGATTGTCTACTCAGTAAGAAGCGACTCTGTTTTAGAGTCTAGAACTGTTTTCTTTCTTGTCCATGGAAAGCTATAATGAAGTGTGCATTAATATATTTTGAGCTCTAAAAATGTATTTCTTCTTTTAAATCACCTAAATTTTAAAGTAAAATAACTTCACTTTACCTATAAGATTTACATCGCTTCAGTTAAAAATAACCTTTTAACACTCTCTGAATTTCAATGTTACATTAAGGGATAACAGACCCCTTATTCAGATATTCGCTAAAACATTATGATGTTTACTGTCAAAAAAGTTAGACTAGGGATTCGGTAATGATAAATAACATCCTTAATGGATTTTCATCCAGTAGTCGAAGAATATAGAAAAGAACACAAAACAGCAATTTACGGTTTATATACAAATAAGAACAGTTAAAGTAATATTTGATACCGATAGTTCTCCAACTGACATCGTTCACTGACGAACAAATCTCAATAAATCACAGGACTTAAAATGACAAATTATTTTCACAAGTAGAAATGCAAAGCGCTTTGTATGTAAATCGTCTATTAAACAAACTTTCATGATAATGTGACGATACCATCGCCGAAAAGTTAGAAGAGGTTGTGGGATTCGCCTGCATTATGGTTTGGACATCACAATTTAGGTACGCATCGACCAGTCGTATCCATGTCTCTTTCAGCAATTCACTTAAAATCTATCAAAATGATGTTTTATGCATAAAACTGTTAAATTTATTGTCAGATATGGTAAAAACTATTAGACTGTACACTTGTAGTGTGCACCTTCATAACGATTTCCTATTTCTCAGTATCTCAGATTAATCCAACAATAAATACGTAGACGGAGGCCTTCATTTTTCATGATCTTTATCAGTGGCATTATTCAACAAATTTATCTAGAAATCTGGTATTTTTGTATGTATAATCATAAACATATTTATTGTCAAATATTACTTAGTATATCCGGTTTGTATTTCACCTGGATTGTGTATCAGATATGGTCAGAGAATGTTTCATATCCGGATATATTTGAATAATCAATATTATGATAGAGAGTAGTTAGTAGCAACAATCTGTGAATTACAGTTTTAATGAATATGATACCAAATATTAGATTTATTTGAAAAATTGTGCTTTTAATTGAAAATATCAGACAGATAATAACAGGGGAAATAACTAATACTACTACTAAGTGGTGTTGATTAAATTCTCTTCCTAGTTACATTTTACAAAAACAATCCAAATAATTATCTGCTAAAGTTCTTTAAATATTTCTAATGTATTTTTTGAATCCCATCACTTACAGAAGGGAAATCAACTAATGTAGTATTCAAAAATGAACAATATTTGAGCAAACAATTGTTTTCAATAACTTCATCATCAGGCTCTACAGTTATAAGTCCATAATTATTATGATATTTTACAAAGGCCAAAATGAGGCATGTATTAATTAATATGACAATGTTATATCTTAAAAGTGGTGAAAATTTGTGTTATTTGTAAACTAGAAAGGTCATTTAGTGAAGGTCAAAATGATTTCGAGTGAAGTGTTCAGTCGCAATGAGTATAATAGTAATATAACAAAAATGAAAATGCAAAAAATCGTATGAATAAAATTCATAGCAGGGGAATTTCATTTTGTCAATTGAGATAATAATGATAAATATTAATAGTAATAATAATAAGATTGTTATGTGAATATAATACGTAATAAGAGGGGTGTTATCAAGGTAATTACGATAAACGAATTGGGAATGATGGGTGTGAAGATTAAGATAAAGGTGATCAAAAAGGGGGGAGTGGTTTATAATATTCAGTTTAGGTATCCGGTGGTCCAGTCGTAGGCCTTATCTGGAGTTGATCCAGATGGCTTTGGCTATGTAGAGTGACCGTAATCTAGCTTATTGATGTAGATTTTTCGGAACTTCATATAAAACAGAGAACGCTTCCTCTATATTAACATGTGATGTTCACTATCTACCAATAACTAATAAAACTACTAAGTGTTTTGATTAAATTCTCTTCCTAGTTAAATTTTACAAAGACTCAATAATAATATATGGACGACCTTTGAACGAATCTTAAATGACCGTGGAAAATATCAGCCAATCAGTAAACAGTCAGCATAGAGTAAAAATATATTATTCAAAACCAAATAATTAAAGTGGATACACTTCTTTTATATGGTCCAAAATTTTGTCAAGGTTAGAAAAGGTCCAAAAGTTCCAAAATCGTAATGCATAAGGTAGAGGAACTCATCCATATGGCTCCATAATAGTTGGTCCCTGAAGCCATGATAAGGTCACAAAAGGCCTCTCAGCCTCTACCACGTAGCTTCATTATTGTTTGTGTGCACTACGGTTGTGTAAGTTTATCATTTTTATTATGGATATGTCCTTAAAATATTCATACCACTGAACAGCCAAAGCTTCAGTAACATCTGCGATTATTGTAACCAATGTTACTGGTGCTTTTATTATACATTTTGCGGCAATTATTATAATATGCCTTAATCTCAATCTGGATCGAGCGATAAAGGTTCCCATTCTAGCAAACGTGTTCGTCCAACATACATTCCATCGAAGGACAACATCACGGTAGTCTGCACAAGGTCTACAAGTCATTTAATACCCGCAATTACAATTACAGGAACTTCTTAATAGTCTGATTTGTTGTAACCGCTTAACTGTCAAGTCTTCTCTAAAATTCTCTGTGAACAGGTTGCACATAAGCATCAGGGACTGAAATCAGCGCCGTGACCTTGAAATCCCTCAAACTTTTCTAATCGGCTCGTCCATAAATTATAGTCTCGTCAATATTTCTAATATATTTTTTAAATCCTATCACCTACAGAAAGGAAATGAACTAATGTAGTATCTTTCACTACTGAAAAAATATGGCATAATTATTATACATAGAAGATATCAAATTAGAAACACATTTTTATGACTATTTTTATCTCATTCTCTTTTTTTATATTTCACAAAGTGCAAATCAATTAACTGAACCATCATTTAACTATACTACCAGTTAAGAATTAAATAACAAACAAACTATTATTACCATTCTAACTATTCTACTTTTAAACAATATGAAATCTACCTTTTTCATTAATTAAATTTTTATATTTAAGAATATAAACTTACTACTACATAGTCATTAATTAACTTTCACTCTTATTTAATAAACGTCAGTTGAATTTTAAACAAAAAAAAGAGAGGAAAAAGAATATTTTATTTAAAAATATTTCTATACTACGAATAACGATTACAGTAACTTAGTTTCTTTTTTTTTTTAAATTATGTAATTGAAGATCATTATTGAATAGTTTCCTTAGTTGTTGTTGTTTTGCTTTTTTTTTCGCTTCACAAACGACATATGTGATCAGATTTTGTAGTCGTTTATCATTATTTTTTCTCATTCACAACTATTAGGAGTAACTTTCATTTTTAATCATTTCGTGTTAAAATGTTAATTGTTCTAGATGTTATTACCTTGGAAACAATTTTGTTAATGTAGTTTAAAGAAAAAAAAACTTAGATAAGATTAATTCTTTTATGTTTTTTTAAAGTATGGCAAATCATTATTTTTTTCTAAAAGAGAAACATATAACACCAACATATAATATTACATAACTTTCAGCTTGGCAAATATAATGCTACACTATTTTCGTTGATAGACTTAAAGTTCATTTTTGTGCATAGTAATAAAATGTTTTTTATTGATCGGTTTGAATAAAGGATAATACATGTCTAATATTTTTTTTATTTATTATTTTACAAGTTTTGTTTTTTTTAATATTTTTTTTGGATCATGGATATATTTTGAAAAATTTTGGAAAAAAATATTAATGTCTTTTACGACTGAATAAATGTAACACATATATCATGTAGAAGTAAATTTCATAAAAGCCGACAATAATGAATTTAATTTAAAAATTATCATAGTTTATCAGTTGACTGACTGAATAACGATAAAGGTTTTTGTTATTTAAACAACATGTATAAATTGGTAAGTACATCAGTAATCGAACTTATAACGAAGAAAATAAGGTTTTAAAAAATACAAGGAGATATATCTTTCCTAATTTTTTTCATTATGTGCTTTGGATCCACAAAGCTATAAAGAAAGTTGAGTAGCTCAAAAACATACATTACTATAATTCAATACATTGTCTCCTAATCAATCTGTATGATATTTCTTGGTAAAATAATTTATTTAGAATCAAGCCAAATAAAGTTACTCATTCATACTACAAATATTAAACATTTGCACAGCTCTTCACATACATATACATGAAGATGTCACTTATAAAACTGCTTTAAACTTAGATTACGTATCAATATGGTCAGATCTGTTCTTATCTATTATGTTTGTATTTAGCCTATTATACTATTGGAACTTGTAATAACTCGAAAAAAATGTACGTTCCTTGAAGGAGCAACTTATTCTGGGTTTAGAAATCCCAACAATTCAGTTTTAATTCATTCTGATATTACAAATATGTTATTATTTATTATTTTGTTTTCATTTGATTAACAAGAATTTACGTTTGTACTTAAAATTATAACCTGAGCAAAACATTTTATACGTGCCATTTTCAACCAAAATATTAATTTAACCGATGATATCATCTTCGTTTGATCAGTATCTAATTATCCGAATTGAATAAGATACATAAGTTACGATTTTACGACGAAAACTTTCTGATATATAATAGGGATCATAATATTAAGAGGTCTTCTTAAAATAATGCTGTTCGATACGTAATTTGTTGCCAATAGATGTTCCGAATAAAACTGTAATAATCTCCTTTCGCTAAAAATTTCTTTTGAAATCTAGAATTTCACTTATGTGAAGTAAGTTCATTTGATCTCTATAATCTATTATGTATTTACTAGCATTTATTACATAATAGGACGAAACGGCCGTCCAGTGTTTCTAGGTTTTCCATGGTGGTCTAGCTTCAATTGACTCACGCTTTCAACTATGATAAATACTAAATCTCCACAAAACCCCTTCTATAATATCACATCTATTGCCTAAATAACATAAATTCATCTTCATTTATTGGTTATACCTATCTTTTTAATTAAGATGAAAACGATATTTCATGATATTACCTTTGTTAAAAGAGCTTGAAATGAATTTTGATTAGATATACACTCTCAAGTTCTATTTTGTTACTAATTACACATGTAGACATTAAAATATAAGTTAATACACCAGTCGGTCAAAATAGATGTTTACTGAAAGACGCTAATGAATAACAATAAATATGTACTAGATGAAGGTTTTAATAGTGAGTGAGCTCTTTTTGAAAAACTGAAGTATTTAAAACATCAACTTTATTATTTACGCGAAACTTGAACTTGCCGGTCTGAAACTTTAGATGCGTCGATGTGGACAATACGCAAAGAGATTTGATTTATACAGTAGTTAATAAGGTTAAAGTGTTTTTCAAAAATTCAGCAAACAAGATTTACCTTTTATAAAAAAAGCGAACCATTCAATATTTAGCTACTTTCTGATGTATCTAGAGCCTTGATTCTTAATATGCGGCGAACTAATCGACTACATGAACGATAGAACCCGCAAAGTCACAAATGAAAGAAGACAAAGACTGGTAAATAGGAAGTTTATTCCCCAAATCAGTTTCAAAATATAGTACAGAAACCTCGTGTATTTATAGTTTTTTGGCTGAATGTAAATCATCATTTCGGTCAACCAATAGGCACATAGGGGTCATACTAATCCATCCAATGGGGAAGCTACACGTTGACATTCTAGAACATTCCCCTAGTTGTGATTGGATGGAATGTCTGTGGCTCTTCTTGGGCTTCTTAGGGCTTCCTAGAGTCCACCGACGTACCGTCCTTACACTTTTTAACAAGTTTGTGCTCATTTTTAACAAATATTGATTTTTCAATATTCAGGAAATTAATAAAGCAAATGAGGTAACGTTATCAAGATTACATTCCTTATTTGTCAGTTGTTTAGGCGCCTACTTATACTTTAGATATATATTATTATTGTTCCACTAGAAAAAGATCAGTACAATTCGCTATATTTAGAATATCAAATAAAACGACACAATTATCAGATGTACGGTTAATTTATACAAACGAAATAAACTATAACAGAAAAGTCAATAGTTAACAATGTTATAATGTAATTAGCGAAAACATAAGGAATGAGAATAATCACTATTCCTAAAACAGTAAACGATTTAAACATATTATTTTGTTATCATGAATATAAAATGAGAATATTATGTCATATTAATGGTATTCGTAGTTTGAATTCCTATTGATAAACTACAATCAAAGTTACTTAATTAATTTATAAACCTGAATTATCTTTCCGATCGGTCAGGCAAATTTTTTATACATCAAATAGTTCGATATCTGAACTTATTCATATATCAGAAGAGGGTTTTGGGGAGATTTCAGTAATCTTGTAGTTGAATTCATAAGTCAATTGAAGTTGGATCGCCATGGAAAACCTGGAAGCACTGCGTGGCTGTTTTATTATAGTATGGGACTCCTCAGCAGTGCGCATCACGACTACGCCCAGTGGGATTCGAAACAAGGACCTATCGGTCTCGCACGCGAACGCCTAACCTGTAGACCACTGAGTTGACATTCAATGGTGTTAAAGTCGAACTTCAACCAGTCTATATATTTGATTCAACTAATATCCATTGACTTTGAAACAATGTATACATCTGTTCTCACCCCAGGACTAATAAACAGATGATACGATAACATCAATCAATGACACTATAATTTATGGACGACCTTTGAGCGGCGCTTAGGTGACCATGAGAATGTCCACCTATTAACTAGGACTAAACGACAATTATAAACCAGTATGAAGAATTAGAATTATGGTTGACAGTTAATATTTAAGGTTACAAACTAGATTTAGAGTTTTCATCACCAACTGACATCAGCTACAATGCCAAGACGCTATTTGACCAAGTGGATGAATGATTTTCGTGCCAACACTTTAGGACATTAGCGGCTAAATTTCAGTTGCTACGGCATCATGGAATCAGTGTACAAAAATATAAACTTTGACTGGTTGTGAAATAGATTCATTGGTTTTTCTGCTAATATTATAATCATTAGAAAATAAACAGGAAATTGTTATTCTATCAAGTTACCATTAATATATTTGTAAGGCTAAATCATGAAATAAAGTCAAGTTTATTCCAAGTTATCACATCAAAATCACTAAAATTTTGTTTAGAAATCATGATAAGTAGTTAATTAACAAGATTTTACAAAAACGGTAAGGTACTTTCTTTAAGTTTATTGACATGACATATGAAAAAAAGTGCTGTAAATACTAAACCGAAATCTTAAATGTTTTTCTGAACCAACATTTAACTATAGAGTGAAATAAATGTCTAGTGTTAGTAACGCTGACAAATAACTTTGTCTCAAAATAATGAGTGGTAATATAAACTAAGAAAACTTGGTTTAACATAATCCTACTAGGTAACTTTTATTTTCAGTATACTGGATAATACAGATGAAAATATGTAAGTCAAACTGATACAATCCTCTCAACTATAAATTACAAACGGATTAGTTTATTGTTACTTATAATAGTAATTTTCAAACTTTATTTCCTACGCCATGACTGGCCTATCAATTTATCATTAAACATCGCTTTTCCAAAACGACAGAGGAACTGATAAAATAGATTCCATTTGTTATTTATTAAATTTTCAAGGTCACGGGCATCATGACTCAGGGTCGAGGTGATGGTTCGGAATGGGTAACTTCATTTATGGTATCCTATAGTGATGATGCTATGCACTGGAAGTTTGTCACTGACCAATATGCCAATCAAAAAGTAAGTTACTTCTCAGTTTTTCTTACATGTATTTCAATTAATGTTTTTAACCTGATGATGTATAACAATCTAACATGGTCTTTTCTTGAATACTCACCCAGAAATGTATTTGTTCATAAAACCACAACCTTATAAATTGATCAGATAAACACGCTACACTTGATCACTAATCATTTTTAAAAATTAGTACCAGTAGGATAAAGTAATTAACCCATAATATAAACTTATCTATTTACGGAATTCTTAAAATACATTTGCATAAATTATGGGATAACACTATGCTTGGGTAAGAAAGAATAATATTTATTCAAAAACATAAATTCTTAATGATAACTGTTATCAATAATTTTGTTAGACTAAGTTCAGATGATTGTCATAATTTTGACCGTCAATTATTTAAAGTAACTATGTTTAATGATAATTCTCTACACTATTACATAGTGAGATAAGTAGTATTTAAGAATCGTTTCTTTTGTTCATTTCCACCCAATAACTTGTATTCAAACTCATGTTGAGAGATGAGTAAATTAAAAAAGTAAAGTAAGGTAATAGATGTCCGTTCTGAAGTATACATTTTCTATTCACCAAATTTGTAACACCTATAATAAACGTTCGACATTTTTTCACAGTCATAGTCCAACCTGTGTTCTTAATTATTCAGTTTCTGATTCCATCCGTTTCTTTGTTTAAAACATTATCCTTATAAACGGTTTTATAGACAACATCACTGATAATGATTATCAGGGTACCAAACATCAATTATGTAATATTCTGTTATTTTTTAATCCAGTTAGTATATACTATTAATTTTAATAAGCTTACGAGTATCTAATATATAAAACCGTGAAACTTATTGAATTCTAATTAATATGTTATTCTTGCCGTATTTTTAATAAACAAACCATTGTGGAATGACTCTTACACCATAGATAACAGAATAAATATTTATCTACTTGTAGTTCAATCTGTTACCATGTAATAAATATTTATTAAACAGAACTAAATAAGTTTTACATGAATTTTCAACAACTATAAGTAATATCATTCGGCGCCATGTTTTTTTTCTATGCCATAGTGATTTATGTTTTTTTTTCTCAGCCAATTCTCTTATAAATGTCCATTTCAGCTAACTATAAAATAATTATGAGGTATTTTACAAAGAAATAACATTTAATCATTTCGAATAACATAACACTGGATAATGAAGGGATTTTATTGTTTAACTGAATAGGATTGTTACCACTATTGTTGAAATGAGAATAAAGTGTTAGACGAGATAATAATAAGCTTCTAACAAGTCATTATTGTGGGTTTTTTTTAATACTGAAACATATGTTTTCCTGGAGTCAATCGTCAAAATAACACTTGAATTTTATACAATACTGATATACATCTGGGATAGTTAGTTATATCTTAAATGTTTTCGAGTTATATGTTAAGTGACGTAGTATGACACTGTCGTACATTAAAAAAAGAGTGTTAGAGATCATATATATAGATAGAAAATTAATTAAGGTTGTTTTTTGTGTTAAATAGCTTGTTTTTTTTGTATATCGGTCTATGACTCTTTTTTTGTTTGTATGCTGATTCTTTATTACATTTAAAATGATTTTTCGGTTTTATTTTTTCATTCTTCTCCATGGTTAATTACCATTGGGTTTGTTGTCTGTGGATGTGACAGATTAGAATATTTTAATACTTACTATTAAAATAGATTAAGTTTTTATTTTCAAGTCTAAGTGGAAATATAAAGCTAACACTACTTAAATGAAAATATCTTTTTGAAATCTGGTCATATATATGTGGGGAAATGAGAGTCAAATAAATACATGGGGAACAATAAAAGAATACAATATTTTAGTATAATGTTTTTAATGTCAACTTATACTAATCGATTACAAACTTCAAAATTAATCTAGTTTTATCATAACTCCAGATAAACAATTAATTTGATTAGGATCAAACTACTGAGATCATTTGTGGTCAACTACTTGTCGAATTTTTGGTCATTCATACTATAGTGATTAGATGAAATAGTTAAAAAAATTACTGTTACATAAGAATATTATGACTTCTTAATAACAATTACATGAATGTAAGTTACATTTTTTCCAAAATTTTGAACAGTTTCCTCTTCTCTCTATCGAAAAAGTAGCAAACTAATGTGAAAAGAGCTTATACCAAAAATTATCTATATTTTTGTTTGGGCATAAACGGAATACCATTTTTCAGTGATTTAAGTGTCCGATTTCTGTCAAGGTATCAATTACGTATTATGCTTACTACGTTCATTGACTATTAAGCATCAAAGAGAAAGATTTCATTTGTGTATGTTTATTTTTCCGCTTCTAAATAAAGTTTCAACGACTGCTTCGCTGAAGTACACAAGTGTAGTGTGACATACCTTAATATATATATATATATATATTATATATATATACCATATTCCATTTTCACAACAAATATATTTGTAATTAAAAACAAAAACTACAAGTGTGGGGGAACGGAATTAATCATTTATTGCGAGCACTTGAAGTTCAGCAAATTATTTTTTTTCTGAATGCATACATAATAATATGGATTTTCAAGTAGGTTGCTTCTCATCTTCATTGAGTTCTTTTAGGCCTTACATATTGGATTATGCAGAGCTTTTGTGAATCCTTTCTATTTTATTAGCAAAAGGAAATCATAAAATCTTACGGCTATCCAGGTTTGGAAGTAAAAATTAAAAAATTACAATTTGTATCGTATTATGTAATTTTCAAAACATTTCCAAACAAATAAATTAATTTCGAAATTACATGATCATAGCAAACTGAGGTGTAACAATATATAATCATACAATACGAGTGTATTTCCGTTTAATTACTGACTTACGTCTGTTACCACTTGTGGAGGATCATAGGCAGAACATCAGCAATCACCATCGAACTCTGTCCTAAACAATCCTTTACAATTATTTCCAGTTGTAATTCCCTCTTCTGATATCAGCTTCGAATTCTATACTCATTGTGTTCTTTGGTTTCCCTCTTTTCCGTTTTGTTTCGGGGAAATGCTTATCTATCATGATTTGTAATTTAAAGAGGTTATTCAACAGGTTTTTATGTGGATATTTTTTCATACTAAAAAGTAGAATAACAAATGCAAAAAGTTAATTACATTTTACTCAAGTTTACAATTCTGCATAGAAAAATGAATACAGATTTTTAGTGAGCAATAATCAAGCATTATTATTATTAATGAATATAGAAATGACAAAAAACAAGCGAGATCAAAGTAACTGACTCTAGGAAATTATGAAATGAGTGTTTATTTTCTCCAACCATGAACAAAAATCTAACTGACCAGACTGATCTGAATATTATTTATTCATAACAATCAATCAACATAATTATTCATCTTTATTTGTGATATATTCAACAGGATCATTATTTACATTTTGATTATGTTGAAATATTTTCCACAATTTCATGGATATCGAACTTTATGCTGAATTCATGTGTTAGAAACAATTTATTTTCTAGAAGTATTATATAAGGACAACTTAGAAGCCAATCATTACTTGTAATCTAGTATACTCCTGGGTGATCAGATATTTTTAGCAGACATATTTTACAAACAATTTACTAGTGACTGGCTTCATGAGGTATTTGCTGGAGTTCTAATAAGAAGCGGTGGAGTTCCGTTGGGAGGTATCAACTCACTGAAGACATTCGTGAAATGGTTTCCCAACTTCGTGGATTGGTTGAAGTTAGACATTAACACCGTTGGATACCGGCTCAGTGATCTATCGGTTAAGTGCTCTGACGCAAGACTGGTAGGTCCCGGGTTCGAATCTCGCGAGGTGAGATCGTGGATGCGCACTGCCGAGGAGTCTCAAAATAGGACGAAACGGCCGTCCAGTGGTTCCAGATTTTCCATGGTGGTCTGGCTTAAAATGACTCATTATTTCAACTTCATATAAAAAATTCACATCCTTCACTAATAGTAAATAAAATGAAACAACGTTTTGATAATTAAAATATCTAATAGTTACTTTAGTATGTGTGCAATCACTGAAGTAGTAATCATCCTACATACTTTATGAAGATTATAGAAAAAAACCTAATGTTCCAATGTTTTGTATATACCTCATAGTTCCTGCTCAGAAAGAATAGATTTTATTGACCAAATTAAATATCTGTGTTCTACGGTTCAAGACACACTCTCTAACCAGAGATTTATACAAAAATATTTTCAGATAGAATTAACGATTTTTCCATGAATATTTTACTTCTATTTTACCATCCATCCAGAGTCTTCATCATTTACATCAGACTCTGATCTTAGTTAGACTACCACTGAAAATCTGGAAGGAGTGTGTAGGCGTTTTGTTCCAGGATTTTTAACAGGTTACTTTATTTGGTACCACTTAAAGCTTGTGCTTTGTCTACAACAAACATTTTCCTCTTAATTAACTCAGACTTTACTTCACATTATTTTTTCTAGATTTTTGAAGGAAATTCAGACTCGTACTCAGTAAAACATAATTATTTTGATGAACCTATTCGAGCGAGATTTGTTAAAATTCATACATACACATGGCATAATCATCCTAGTCTTCGAGTTGAACTAGTTGGCTGTCAATGTAAGTGAATGATTTGGGTTTTTATTATTATAATTATTACATGATTACACAAATCAACAACTGGTTGTTATGCAGTCTTTAAATTATACTTTCCAATCTCGTTACAAGATGTGTAACAGAATAAAATGAATATAGTTGACTATAGAATGTTTGTTCAATAATAGTATGTAGAAATCGCCAAATTCATTGCTGTACACTAACATTCACAAATAAACTTATTGACACATAAATAGAAATGGTGAAATCATCAAAGCGGCAAAGTAAAAAGAAATTAATAATAAATAAAAGGGTGACAGTTAACTTAATAAAATCAAACAGTTACAATGTTGATTATTACATAACCTAGTTGACTGCATTTTTAATATGATATTGATTTCTAGAATCTATTGGACAATTTGACGGCACTACAATAATTTTAACTTCTTAGTTTTAACTGTAAATGTCACAATATAATGAACAGTGTTTAATAGTTATGATGAAAAACGTATCCATCGTATGAACATTTAACTGTGAATTTTTTCTTTCATCAATTATTTTATATGCAAAGTGAAAATAACTGTTCAATAGAACTTCAGAAATTCTTTCTTTTCCTAAGCGGAGAAAAATTATCAATAATTGAAGTACTTCTAAAGACATCACAATGAGTATCTTACTAAATCTATTAATTACTACAATGTTAACAGCTTAGAACTTATGAAAATTACTTTGTCTTATATCCTATTATAATAATTTCTAAATTTCTTTCATTCATCCTCAAACTAAATGATTATGTTTTCACATATTTTATCACACGTTTCCATCACCATTTAAATATGACATCCTGTTTTACTTCATTGAATTACTGTCAAGTCATAAAATTGTGTATGGTATATTTTAGCATTTTCGACTAATCAATGTTGAATAATTAGTTGTTCTCCTAACAACCACGTGCTGACTGGCTACTATATTACATTACTAACCAATACGAAATATAGTTACACGATGTAAAAATGAAATCATGTTAGTCATACTGTCAAGATATTGACTTGTATAGTGTTCCTCATCCTTATTTGATAGTATAATGTTAATAACGAACAATTCCTCAATTCAAATTTGTTGGAACAATGGTGAATAATTTTCATGGATGTAGTCAAAACAGTAGTTTTGATGTTGTAAGCTTACTTCTAAAATTCTTTTGTAACTAACTGCAATTTCTAGGCTAACAAGGTGAATAATCTAAAAGCTTAACGTGGAAAAAGAGGTTTTATTCTTAAATGTTACACCTAATAACATTCAGGAATTATCACTTATAATCAATACATTACATTTGACAATAGATCTACCATCTCAGAATGTGAAAATATGAATGTCACATAGACGTTGATTAGTGTTAGTCATCACCAGCCATAAAATTAAGTTTTCTAAAGATTTTAAGATACGTTTGTGATTATAATTAAAAATTTGTTTAAAATCAGATTGATAAACAAATATTTCACATGAAACATTATTTAAACATTCCCTAAAATTTGCGGGATTGAAATCCATTTGAATTTTTATATTCATTGTTTATACTTTTTTTTACTTAAGCATGTAAACAAATTATTGGTATACCTCCTTATGCAAGATTTGCTGCTTCAAGTTCTCGTGGCAAACGATCACAACGTTCTTGTACTCCAGAATATGGTCATTATCTAAGTAATAAAGCATGGTGTGCTCAGCGTCAAGATGGTAAGTTGAGTAAACTGTTTACTTTTAAATAGTCATTTTTTTAACATTAATGTTCGAAATATTTTGTTGAATCCATATTTCAAATTTAATTCACTATACAATAAACAAAAGGGCTTTTTGACTGATCCATTTGCAAAACTGATATTCAAAGGCTGTATCCTGCAACAACTAAGCTACCTTAAATTGGTTTATAATTAATCTGTTCTTGCGTAGAAATTCTCCTGAAGTGATGAAATGATATCTTAGCAGTAATGGTGATGACTGTTTCTCTTAACTTAACATACATACCACAAATAAATAACAAGATAATCATTGCAAATTCTTATTCACTGTCCAGGGATACTGAAAATGTTTTTTATAGAATGGATAAATCCATCTATAATAATCTGAACTTATTAGCCTGATTCTAAAAGTATACAAACGATAAACTGATCATTTAGTCGTTTTTTCTGGAAATTAAATGGTGTTAACTTTTTTAGTCAGTTTATGAAACAGTCGAATTCTTAGACAGACTTATGTCTACTAAATAAATGTTTATATTTTTTTTCCGTTTGAATGTTCTCATATGAACAATATACTCAGTCAGTTATCACATTTTATTACCTTTGTTCAAGCATAAACATATTTGTAAGAAATATAACTAAAAAAATCATGAGTCAGCTTATTGTGTGACGAATGTTTAATAAACCGAATTTTTTGTTTTCCAGTCACTGAATTGATTGTATCTAACTAGGGTTTACTAATCTAACATTGAACAACCTCATGAAAGTGAATAATCTTATAATGTACCAGATTAGAATTATTGGTTAAAATCAAGTTCTTAACTCTAATATTTGAAACCTGGATAAGCGGTTGTTGAGAACCAATCAATGGAAGGTATCATGCAACAATTGTGAGTAATGAAGTTAGATAGCAACCACAAGACATAATGCTACTAAAAAGTGAAATAAATACCTCCTTTATCACATTATCAATGTTCTGAACTTGTTAACCATAGTAAACTGATCTATAAGTTCTAATATCCTGTTTATCAAGAAGGATGACAACAACTGGAACATATTATATTACATATTACTGATAACTAATAAGTAGACAATTAGCTAATATAAAATTGTTTTTAACAAAAGCAATTAACTTATACATTTGTTTTTCTAAAAATCACTTCATTCATACTATACACTTCAATATCTTCATAGATATTCTAAAATGAGATTGACACTTTATAATGGGAACATTTATTGATTTTTATATTTATTAGTTTCTTTAGTAATTACATTTCAATTATATTACTTATTGATCTTTTGACTTTGATTGCATAATAATAAAATCAAATGATTTATGAATTTATTCTGTCTATAACCATAGATATTAAATTACAGATTTCATAATATTTTCCTGAGTAGAGGTTACAAACAGAACATCCTAGATATTAAAGCAATTTCAAGTAAACTTATGGTTTCACATTTGTTTTAATAATAATTAAATAAAAACCTAAAACTCTCAATTACGTAACAAATACCCAGGTTCTATTGTAGTGAATGAGAACACAGGTGGGGACAATCAAATGTATTTAAGCACAAAATACAACTTATCTCACTAAAATCTCATAACCACATAGTAAACAGTTAATTTGCAAAATAACATTCAATTGCCTCAATCTTCACTGTTCCTTCTGTATATATCAATCCATCTTCTCTAATTTCATTGTTTGTGCATTTTCATACGAATTGCGCTTCATTACCGTTTTATGCCTATCGATCTTCTGCAAAATACACTCTATGTCTGACCATCACCATATACTACTTATGTGGATATAGGTAGCCTACACCACACAATTGTGATCTAAAAATATATTCAAATATATATATATATATATATATATATATATATATATATATATATATATATATATATATATATAGGGTTTTTACTTGGCAAATTTTATTATGCTTTCTTTTTAGTAGTATTATTCATTAGATAGAACCTTATTCATGTATATTCAATAAACATTCAATAGGATAAAAATAACCAGTTCAGTGGTCAAATTTCTAAATTATCATTGTTTCACACTTCAGCTTGTATCAATTAAATCCTCTTTTTTAGAAAATTAACGTTTCAAAATAATTTAGATAATTCCTGATTAGTTCACATATCATGATTATCAAAAATTTACCATTTTTTTTATAGTTAGAGATTTGAGTTTAATTTATTTAAAGATGTTTGAGATTAGAAAGATATTTCTGTAAAAGTCATTTGAACTACTACAGATTGTATTGCAATGTATTTATCTAAATAATATCAGTTTCGTAACGTCTCCCATACTCGTTCAAACAGTTTACTCTTGAATCAAAGTCTTAGTAAGTTGGAACTCTCCTGATACTTAAATGATGGGCAATAGACCGAATATACTAAAATTTGTGACTAAAAGCGATAACTTGGCAACACTTCTAGTATGGAATATCTAGCAACAGGAGCAGATCCTTCGGCTTCCTGAACACTATTAACCGAGAATTACGAAAACTTACCCATAAATAAGAGATTGTTTAGATATGTAGTTAATTCAAGCAGCATAGAAACTAAAGTTCGATAATGTTTTAAATATTTTAAACAATACAATAAGGAGTATGTACAAAAAGTGCATTATTTAAATTATTGTTAATTTTCATTATCAAAACACTCACGCAACTAAATACCAGTCAGTCCTATATACTAACTTATGCCTGTTACCCCTCATGGAGTAGCATAGGCCAACAACCACCATTCTCCATACAAATTTCTCCTGAACAATCATTTCCAGTTGTCTCCGGTTGCTAATCATTACTTTGATGTCTGCTTCCGATTCTCGACACAATTCATTCACTGGTATTCCTATTTTCCGTTTACCTTCAGGATTCCAAGTTAGCAATTGCTTCTTAATGTGTGCTCTATTCAACTCCATCGTCTTTTCTTAATTTCCTCTTAAAATAGAAGCTGGTTTGTTTTCTCCCACAGTAAGGTGTTGACAGTGGTATCCGGTCAACGGACATTGAGCATCTTGTGTTGACAATTGTTTACAAAAACTTGCACTCTTTTCATGATGTTTGTGGTAGATTCTCCAAGTTTCAGTTCCGCACAATATAACTAACTGTGTTAACATTCATATTGAAAATTCTGGACTTGATAATGGCTTGCATACGCTTGTTTTGAGTACCATATGTTCTTTAACTGTAGAATTGTTGTCCTTACTTCGCCAATTCTCACCTTTACATCTGCATCAGATATTCTTTCTTCATCGGTGATACAGACCAGTTACGTGAAAGTTTCCACCTCTCCCAGATTTTCTCCATGAAGTGTGATTAGGTTAGTGTTCTTTGTGTTGTGTATGAGGTTCTTGCTTTTTCATTTGTGTATGTTGAGGCCTATCGATGTAGAGTCTGTTGCTATAATGGTTGCGTTGATCTAGATTTGTTGCTGCTTATGGGATAGAACGACTAGTTAATCTACGAAATGAAAATCATCTAGGTCCATCCGCACTGTCCATTGTATCCCATGCTTCACAACAGATGTCAAGGTTTACACAATCCAATCGAAAGAGGCAACAGAAAAGGAGAGAGAAGGCAGTCTTTTCTGACTACGGTCTCACTTGATAAGAATCTGTCATCTGTCTCACAGTTACGACTGTGACGTGTAGTCTGTTGTATGAATTCTGTATGATGTCGACGATTTTTCAAACCAATCACATCTCAGTGTCGAATAAGTTTTCATTATGTTAAATTATCCACAGTGTCAATCGCTTCATCATAGTGAAGAAAGTTAATGTGTGGTGATGAGTTCCATCCAACTGATTGTACAATGATGATCCGTAGTGTCACCAATTGATCGGTACCCGACCGATCTTTATCGATTCTTGCTTGTTGATCTTGGAGTTGAGTATCTATTTAATCTTTTTTGCGGTTCATCAACATTTTGTTGAAAGCTTATCCTGGTACCGATAGTAGTGTGATACCAGTGTAGTTCTCACACTTGTTGAGATCTCCTATCTTTGGTATCTTGATGAGTTATCCTTCTTTCTAGTCTGTCAATATTGGTCATTTGTCACAAATCTTCCTGCATAGAATGATCTCTACATTTGACTTTAGTGCCCTAGCACCGGCATTAGCTCTACTAGGGTTACTGTCGGTCTTAAGACCGATTAAAGTAGGAGGGTAGAACATGGGGGTCGTCAGTCTATTTCTGTAGAATAAAACTTTGCTAGAAAACGTTGATGAGTTACATGTTCATTAGTAAAGTATAATTTTGTAAAAGAAAAATAATAAAAATTATTCTGGATTGATTACTGATCAAACTTTTATACAAGTGCTTAGTACAATTCAAGATGTTTTAGTGAAAATAATTATTTTTCTCCAAGTCACTCACAAATCATGTTTTTTTTAAAGTCCATATATTTTTAATGTAACATAGATACAATTACAGTTAAATAAGTGTGTCAATTTATTTTTATTGAAGATACAGGATATTACTTATAGTAAATGAAATATATCATCTATACAATTATCAAGTCTTTAAATATAATTAATTAAGCTTCAAATTACATCGGTATTTGAATACTCCCCTAATTGTGAAAAATATAAATAAGTACCGAAAATATAGATCTCTCAATACCTAAGTTTATTCAATGTACTTGATCTAAGCTGAGATAACTCATTCATGATTATTAAATATTTGCATTAGAAAAACTAACTATTCAAACAATCTGGTATGATTAATTTTAATCAATTATTTATTGGAAATAATACCAAATTTAAATATAGAATAGAACAACAAGATAATGTAAACCGTTTCAGATTGAATTATAACTCATACACATAGCACAAATGAGTGAATATCTGAACTTAATAGCCAACGCGATAACATTTGAAGCAGGCATTACTGGGTCCAAGTCAACTTCAGATTGCAAATAAACCCAGCTGACGAGTCCCAATTAGGATGAAACATGAATTTTTGATTCCACTATTTTCTAC